TTTTTTGCTATACATCTATTTTTTTTAGTTTTTCTTTCACATGAAGAGGTATTGATTTGATTCAAATGGTGATATATATAGTAATAGATGTCAACTACGTGTTGTAGTATTGGATGAGACTCCATTTATCTATATAGATTTTTCATGAATAAAAGAATTTTTTTCTAGTGAAACAAGTTTTAGTATTTTCCAGTATAGTACATTTCATAATCAAGAGATTTATGCTAAAATGAAAAAACAAATGTACCACTCAATAGAAAACTTCAGGCTCTATCTGTTTCTAAAGATGAGTTCCGTTTTCAAAGTTGGTCTTCACACCAAAAATCTCATTCTAACGAGAGTAACCAGAAAAAACTAACTGTTTTTTTCATCAAAATAATTAAAAAAGAAATGTTAATGGTGTTTGTGAAAACCTATTTTTCAAAAAGATAAACGTCAAGAATCGCCGGTAATTAGAACTTCAAATTAGTATCCTGCACGAACGACTTTTCGTGCTTCCGATTTCCCGTTCTCATTGCCACAAAAATAATGTTTTGTTCCCGTTTTTTAAGGCTTTTAGAATTTCTGCTATTATTTTATTTGCTTTTGAAAACAATTGTCATTATCTGATATTAGCTTCTCCCGACATCGCGTTTTTCACAATATAACATGGTAGAAATTAAAGCTAAATTTTCGATTAAGAGTTCATCTGAAAAATGATACAACTGAGGTTTACTATTTAAGCCCCTCCGGTCAAAAATGTATTTTCGTTGCAGAATAACCGATCTTGCTAAAATTCTCATGAGAGATTTGCCTGGATCTAGAAAGCTTATAGTAATCATTTCAGCTCAAAATATGAAGTTCTTCAAGAGTTATTCTTATATTAAGGGATAAAAAAGAGGTCTCCACGCCTCCCAAATTTCTTCCCAAATTTAATGATAGAAATTTCGAATTGACATGAAAATGCAGCCAACATTTGTCGCTCCAACTTAACAGTCATCGATCTTTTAAATTTCTTCTTCGTTATTTTTAATGTCACTTTTTCTTGAAAAATTAGCAAAAACAAAGATACTCCTATAACTTTATTAAAATTACGAGTAGTTGGTTATTCTTATTCAGATATAACCTTTCTCTAATGAGCGCACTATTGCCGAGACGAAGAAATTAAAGAGAAAAAGAAGTTTTTTATGTTTTTACAGACTTTTATTGACTAGTTTCTGTCAAGTTACAACTTGATTTCATCAAAATCTACAGAAAACTTATTTTTACAACAGCAACAATAAAACAACAATAAAATGAAAATATCTTCAAAGGGTCTAAAAGACTCTAACAAGTAGCAATAAAAAATCTCTTATAGTTCCAAAAAGTCGAAAGAACCCAAAAAAGGTAACAATAGCCAGAAAGGCACAAGAGAAGATAATCAATCACCAAATGCCTTTGGAGTCAAAACCATTTGTTAGTTTTTCGACGGACCATTGTTTGTGGCGTACCTAGTACTTTGATTTAATTGTAAGCATGAATTGTGAGGTTTCTTTTTTATAAGATAATCTTGAAGATTATGCAATCTTTTAGAACCTACAATCGGTTTCATATTACAAATGGCTGTATCTGAAAAATAATCTTTCCAGAGTTGATGAAATCTGACCGGCAAATCTTGCGTTTCTTTCGAAGAAAAATGACAAAAAATATTGACCTCGAAAACAATTTTAGCCTTCTTTTCATTATTATCTGCGGCGTTTAAAAAGATTCTTCTTATTTTTGAATAATTCTTTTTCGTCGGCACCGCACATTGAAATGTTTGTACAACTCTTTCAAATTGTTTAAGTACAAATTGTATTGGATATTTATTTAAAAGCAATGACATACATATATGAGTTTCTTCTCGTTTAAATGCATTATAACTCGAAGAATATCTTATTGCTCGAACAAGAGCTACATAAGGAATATTCTTTTTTATATGTTGTGCATGCATGCTTGTGAAAGGGAGAAAATATGGTTCATATGATGATTTATGGTAAACTTCAGATGCAAATTTTCCTCCTCTGCTCTCTAATTTAACATCAAGGTACTCTGCAGTATGTCATATGACTTCTGAAAATACGATATTGTTATCAAGTCTATTCCAGAATTTTACAAGACCTTTTAATATATCTGCATGTACATTTTACATGATAAATGAATTATCAATATAGGGTGTGGGTATCATTTCCATCTTTACTCACACCGATACTCACACCCACACCCCACACCCCACACCCACGCTCACACCGACACCCACACCCCACATCCACACTCACACCCACACACCCACACCCTAGTTCCACAAAAATTAATCTGTCTCTCGTTAAGCAAGAGATATACAGCTGAAAATTTTTTTGTGCATAACTATTCATCCCCAATAAATTTATAACGTTTGAACTCTATAGCATGTACTGGCTGGAAGATCCTACTTTGAACAAGGAGCCTTCACCCACACTCATACCGGCATTATCTAATGCTAATCTCTCGATATCTGTGAATTTTGTCATGAAATATTAGACTCTTCTTGATTGATATGTTTCACACACGCTCTGATATTCTTACAAGTTTATTTCTAGTTTTAGTACATAAAAAGCAACTATCAAGAGTCTGTTACATTTGTGCTAAACCAAGCTGCAATGCTTCTTCATAAGCTTGAATAGTACGCATGAGTTTATTTCGAAGATTGGTTTGTTTCTGTGGTTCACGCATAATGTGAACCAATTGTGACGAAGTCACTGAAGTGCTCAACAACTGATCGATTTTTAGCGCACATTGTGTAATGAAATGATAATAGCATGTTTGTGCCATGCTATCAGTCACACGTTTTTCCACTACCTAAAAGAGACAAAAAACCACCGATATTCTATTTGAAATATTATAGGAGATTTATGAGAGAATTCTAGTGAACATAGTGTATCCATTGATCTCAGATGTCTATCAAGAATCCAGTCGAATATTTTACCTTTGAGTAAGCATGAAGAGCAATTTGAATGTCTTTTGCAGCCTGAGCTTCATTGGATACAGGCGCATAAGCAACTTTGTCAGTCGAATTCTGAATAATCGAAGTTAATGTTACTTTCGGACGAACTGAAGCTGAAGATGATGCAGCATTTTGCTCTAAATGATCATCATGTCTCTTCTTATCCTTTTCTTTTAACTTATTCACAGTATCCATATAATAATGATTGAGTGTAAATACACGTCGTTCCATATTGAGTATTTCTAGGACACGCTCGAATACAACTTCTTTTACTTCATTAAGTTGTTTAATGATAACTTCTTTCAGACGTTCTTTCAGACGAGGATATTCATTATTGAAAGCCTTTTCGAATGATTGTAGCAAACATTGTGACATGTATTCATGTATTCCTTCAACCAATGCGTAACAACAATGAGGCAATTTCTGTAGTTCTTTTCGGAAAAGTCCTACAATAATTTGATAACTAGGAAAATTCGGTAGAGAAACACCAGCTGTTCGATCAATTTCGCGAAGTACAATTTTATGGTATTGATTTGAAAAAAAATTCGTGAAACTTTTTCGACATTCATTCTGAAATTTACGTTGTAACTGGTAAATATGATAAGCAATATGGTCTTCATCGTTCTTGTCGGTTGAAAATTCTTCTTCTTCTTCTTCTTCTTCTTCAAATTCATCACATTGATCGTTTGAATCAAGATCATTGATAGAGATAATTTCGACATCTGCAGATGTGTTAGGAACTTCGGTAATCTCCATCGACGCCACCTGATCATATTCGCCTTTCACATTATCATGAATACTTTCCCGATATGCATTGACCATTGATTGAAAATGTGTCCAACATTCACTTTCCGTATTCATAGAAGCCGGAATCTTTTTCAGTTGAGCTTTTTTCTCGACTATTTGTTTTTTTAGGTCTTTGATGATTTGTGGAAATGTAGAACGAATACGGTCTTGTTGAATAGTAGCTAGACGACGAACTAATTGTTCACTACCTTTAAATTCGTCTGGTAGATGTTGAAATGCTTCTTTGTGTTTGATAAAGAATTGTTTTTCTCGTTGTTTCATTTCATCGAATGAAATATTCTGATCAATTTCGTCTTGACTTCGATTGAGAACAGCAACACAACCCAATTGAAGTTCCATTGAACCTAGCCCACGACCTTGCAATTTTTCCGCAATGCCTTTATCGTATTTGTCAATTTTCGAGGCTGCAATTAGCTGTCGCTGACATGATGGATCGTATCCTTTGGCGAGTTTCATCGATTCTGATGTGGCAAAATCGACTGAAGCCGGAATGACATGTAGAACAATCTAAATATATTAGACATATTTTCAATATGGACAAAAAGTATGTGAAATAATATCGCGCGGGCTTTTGAAACTTGCCCAGTAGAAAACAACCTTCAAAATACTACATTCATTACAAACGTCCTACACCCACTAGAATATAATATCGTTTTGGCAATTATTGTCCTCGTTCAGAGATTACTCGAAACATTATTGTGCAAAGAACAACAACTGATAATCTGAGCTGTTAAAAACTGGTTGACTGTTTAGTTATAATATTCGAACATTTCAAGAGCTTTTGAAGTGTAAAATGTTTTCTGCAAGCAAAATCAGGATTAGTATCCTGAGATTTCTATTCTTATCGAATGACTCGAGTAGACAAGAGATGAATTTCTTGTTTTCAATTAATATTATACAATATCATAAAATAAGAAATGACAGACATGCTTACCGCGGTATTTGGCTCGATATATTTTTTGATTAACTCCAGTATTTGTTCATGGATATTAACTGCTTGACCATGTACTGGAGCTCGTGTAATACCCGGAAGATCAATAAGAGTCAAATCGTACAGAATATCGTGCTTGTACACGGTTAAGTAGATAGGATTTGAACTAACATTAGCTCCTTTACCAGCAATTTCTGATGTTAATCGACTAACTTCATCAGCAATCTTTGTCAAATCATCAATACGCTTCTCCATAGTAGAGTCAACACTACCACGTATTATTGCATATTCCTCATCTTTAGCAGTTTTCATCCGTAATTCGAGTGGACAGCGGGTACAAATATTTTGTGCACGAGGTAATTGAATACCAGATATAGCTTCTAATACCGACGATTTACCCACCGACTGATCCCCAACGACGACAATTTCTGGTAGAGCCACCTTTTCTCCATGCAAGAGTTCCCGCATCTTGTCAATAGCCAATAGAAGGCCTCGCGATTCATCACTATTCAATTGTTCACCTAACATAATGCTCAGAATCAAATGTTGTGATCAACTAATCTAGTTTCAGCTTTCATTTTGTTTTTTGTCACTCATATTTATATGTCAGTGACACTGGGAAAAAACCCAGATTACAATTTTTTTGACGTTATAAAATAATCAGCTGACAATAAAGTAAACAGCAAAGAATACCCACAGTAACTCAAGGTGACTCAATCTCATTGTTGTCTAATCCAATACCGAACAACTATGTCTCCTTTTTTTCTTGTGATAGATAAACATGATCGACTTGATTCCTTTTGTTTGGTACTGACGCATGCTCTGTGTCTGTGCGCCATGAATCATTTTTATTTCATTCTTTCTCGAGATAAACTACATTTTATTTGCGTAAGGAACTCTTCAATAACTGCTTTCATGTGCACACGTAAGTTTAAACGAGTAAATGGAAAATGAAGCATTTTTCTTCACTATCAATATTACGAAACCTATACGCAAGTATAGTTTGGATAATGGTGCTGTCACATTTTCGATATTGCTATGTTAGACAAAATTCAAGATACTATCATTAAGAATAAAAAAAGACGAACGCTAACGCACCTGGTGAAATATTTAGCATATGTATCGATAGGGTGGATGTGGGTGTGGGGTATAGATCTAAATGATGAGAAGCCTCACATTCCACATCCACACCCACATCCACACCCTCAAGTTGTTTTTTCTTTCACATCATCGTCAAATAAATAGACTTGGAAATTTTGAATAACGGAGAGGAATGATTAATTTCATGTGTGACAGAAAAACTGCGCAATACCTATGTTATTGAATATGAAATTTATTGAGCCGGGTGTGGGTGTGTTTATGGCTGTGGGTTTGGGTATTTTTTGAATGTAGTTGTGATTGAGTAGTAAAACAAGATCAACTTCAGTATGCACATCCACACTGACACCTCAAACCCAAACACACACCCACGTTTTACAGCTCGGTAGCCACACCCACACACACCCAGTATTTGAAAAATATTTCTTACGACGTTAAACACTATGGAAAATTCCTGATCCTGATCAAGAATATCAAACAGGCAGAACACTATTGAATGAATGTGGCATATGCGCTTAGGAGATAGCCGTGTGTCGTCCTTGAGGGTGTGGCTGTGGCTGTGGGTGTGTTGTGCAAGAACAGAAGAACATCCACACCCACACCCTTTCATCACATCATAAAGCACTGAGAATTTGTGAAAAAACTCTTCCTTCAAATCGTCCGAATTTGGCTGTATATTATGGACATATTGGAATCATTTTTCCTGAGATCGGTGAACATTCGAAAGCTGTTGAATATTGTGAAAGGGCTCTTAAAATAGTAGAAAATTCACTACCAGCTAATCGTCCAAATATTCTATTATATAGAGACAACCTCGAATATGTAAAAAAGAAAATCTAACGCGTAGATTTCTGTTTTATTCGAAGAAATAAATGCAACGAAGAGAAAAGGGTACTTTTCTTTCTTTTTTTGAAGATATAAGTACGTGAGCGTACAGAAAAACTCTCTCTTATTGAGAATAAAATGTGACGAAGTCCTATCAGTAGTGTAACCAATATGTGTTTCAATGATTGTCATATATTGTAAATAATTGGTCTATTAGCATTATCATAGATATGAAACCAAGTATGAGTGAGTGACGTATGTGAGTATGATCATTCTGAATGATTTCAATTTCGTTGTTGTGTATTCTTTATTTGAATAGTATTTTGTTCTGCAAATAAGATACGATAAATTCGAAAAGAAAAATTGATCTATCAATCTTTTCAACAATGAACACGATAATCAAAAATGTAAAAGAATAAGCACATTGATTAGTTTCGTTCTCTATGATTGAAGTCTTAGAACTTCAACATGATATTTCGACTCCTTCTTTTGTCTTTGAAATTTCTTGTTGAACAGAAGTGAAAGTTCATGGCTTTTTTGGGTGTGGTTGTGTCAGATGCTTGATAGCAACACATTAACACTGATGACCGACTATCGGACATTTGTTATGGTTATTTCCAAGTGATCCCATCCATTTGGAGAAAAAAAATTCTTCAGTTTTGATGAAACTTTTGCAAATACAGAAGAATAATATTCGATCTTGTCGATCATCGCATCTATCCAAATCGCCTAGTACTAAGGCACAATGAGTAATACAAACAAAGAAAAAGAACATGTAATGAATTCACCAATTTCTCGACTGCTTCGAGCAATTACGAGCGTACCGTAGTCATCATCCATAATAATCTGAACATGGTCATTGATAACTGCTGAAATAAGGATTCGATAGACAAGACGAAAAAAAAAACAATAGAACAGAACAGAAAGGTATTTATTCAAAATAAGTCTTCTAAATAGATAAGTAATATTACATGAAAATTGTCTTTTTTTTATCGGAATTCCAACCTATCGATGACCTTTGCCGAAACAATCGTTACATCTTTTCGTAGTTGATCGACGACCGTAACCGTTGCATGAGCATCTTGAGTTATAGTTGAACCCTATTCTGTCACGATACTGACAGCAATGGCAGATATCTTCGACATCAATTGTTCCGAAGCCTTTGCATGTATAACACTGTATTTGTTGATACCGATGCGTATGTCGATTTCTGCCATAATTATCGAGATAGTTGTTGCTTTGATGACTCGATTCATTACCCATTTTGTTCGAAAAGTTACACGCTGAAAGATAAAAGATAAAACCAATGAATATCGATGAAAGAACAAAAGTCAATCCATTTTTCTTCTCTACTCAATATCCTTCTAAGTCTTTTGATGAAGGTATCGAGAAAACGATAGATCAACAGTTGTTTTGGGGATAGT